ATGAGGATTACAATTGCTCACAAACTCTCAAATCCTATGCTTCGCTGTGAGTTTCATTCTTCACTGTTATATCCTGTGTTGTATTTGATAAATGTAACTACTATTTAACAAAACTCTTCTGTTTTTAAATCTGTTATATGTAACATTTAAAGATTGAAGTACTTATACTGACTGTTCAAAACATCTTCTGGGCTTTTTTAGGGGCTTTCCCTAAATATGGTATCAAGCCCAACAATGAAGGATTCAAATTAATGTCCTATATCTGTTAACGAAGATGCGTATCTGAGGAGTGTTTCAGAAATATATTCCTTATATTTTTATTGAAGTAAGAGTAATCAAGCTTTTGCTCCTTTTCTGCCATTTTTGCCGTACTAGCTTTAAGCCATCAGTTCTCTCCAACTGTGATTGCTTTGGCAGGATTAAAATCTAGTTTCTTCCTTTTTCATACATAATGAAATTAATTAACTCCTTCATCATTCATTCATGAGGCACATTTGTTCCTTGTAATATATTTAGCAACATTATTGTTTCTCATTGATTCATCAGTGGTATTTTTATTTCTCGATGATGTTTGGAAGATAGTTACATCCTAAATATTCATATTTTCATGTATCTAAGGGTATTAATATTTTCACCTTTCATAAGCTTTTTAGGTGATTTTAAACTAGGTAATAAAGTATTCTGTGAAAAACCTGAATATTGCAAACATCCTGACGAATAAAATCTGGCTTTTATTAACGTTGCGGTTCTGTGAACAAGGCTGGTCAGAACCCCAGGAACAGACAAAACAAAACTGCTCCCAAAAGTGGTTTCGGTGGAGGAACCCGGAGGCAGCCGAAGCTGAGGCGCGGCGGTGGAGGTGCAGAACTGTCAGCAGGCTTTTCGGCAGGGGATGGGAAAGGAGGTGGGAACCAAGGGTGGTCTGCTGTGCTGGGATATACATGCACCTAACTTGCGTTTTCTGTAAAACGAACAGTTATAAATGACAGAATTGTCTGGTTTTTCAGTGACTGGTGGCTTTGATATGAGATCGTGAACACTATGATTACAATGGAAGGTTTCCTCTCGACTCGCTAAACACGTAAAGAGTGAAAATGCTGATCTGAAATGTAGTCTCCCGTCTTGTTTCAGAGAGCAATAGGCAGGAGTGCTACAGAGAAATAATAGTTTTACCAGTATTGGAAGTTTCTTTCTGGCCTCGTGCTGCTATCATATATCCTAACCCACAAGCATTGCTATCCTTTAACATAGATATGCATTGTGACTATTGTACCTGTGGGTGATAAAACTTAATTGGAAAACTAAGTAGGAAAAGGTGGTATCTTTGATCAGATGAGCTGGTACAACTGGAAAAGCCAGACAAGCTTCCAGACTCAGATGTTCTTCAAACCAGCTTAGGTAGTCTTATATGTCTTTAATTTTTTTTTTTTTTTTGCTAACAAAATTAGTTGGCTTAGAAAGACTTTCTTCTCACTAGAACTTAAGTTTGTTTCACATCCTTAGAAAATCATGGCTACAAAAAACCTTATTTTAAAATGTTATGAGGTCCATAAATTGTTTCTTTCGATTGATTTTGAACACACTGCTTCTTAATAAAATAATTTCTTTTCCCTTTTCCGTTAGAGAAAGCAGTAGAGGTACGAGTCTTTCTTACTCTTTCCATGCCATTTACCAAATTAAACTTTGACCATGTTTGCAGTTATCGTTCTCTGTGTATTAAATGGTCTTAATTTTTTACGTGCATTCCTATGTGTACGATATTGTGCTTCTAAACAATTTTGTTTTTTTCTGGACCCTTGCTCCTTTATCTTCTGTATCAGACTGTACTAAAAGCTGAACATGTTTCGTAGTTCATCTCAAGCTGAGGGTTTCCTACGTATTTATGCAATAGTATTGCAAGTTCTAGTATTAGTATTATATAAATCAGTACTTTAGCCTAAACTGTGAGTTGTGGTCAATCCATCTAAAAAGTTCATGTAACAAATACATTTGTTGCACTTTTATAATATCCTTATCTTATACTTGCACAAAAATGGTGATTTATTACATTTTCACTTTTTTTTTTTGTTCTGATATGATAATACCAACAAATTAATAAATCTTAAAAACATATAAGATTAAAAAACAGAACTAATTTGATTGGACATAGACATAAATCTGTACTTCCATAAACATACAAAGTTTGGGGAAAGGTTGAACAAATCAGCATGAGCAGTGAAACATATTTACTTCTCCCTGTCTTGGGAGGGTGTTCTAAATTGGATGGCCTCTTAAGGTACCTTCCAGACCTATAATTTTACAGAATTAAATGCATCATTAAAGTGTTTAGACCCCCCCTGCACATGAACTAATTAAATAATTTATGAACATTTACATTTTACTAGTCTCTCTCTTTCAAATCACTAATAAATTGAGCAGATAATGGTGGTCTTAGTATAGCATCTTTGCTCATTCAAATCACATAAGAGCACAGCAGAAGCTGAACAGTGACTCCTCTTATTCTTTCTCTTCCTCAGTTTACCTTCTTTCTAATTGCCATTTACTCTGTGACTTGCTTCTTTTCTCCTACAATGGAATTTATCTAGAGAATTTTTTTCACATAACAAATAATACTGCATGTGCTAACACATCAATTTATACAGTAATTTTTGCACCAGCATGTTTCCTTTTGTAAAAACAGAATATTTTCTTCACTTTATACTACGCTGCTTTGGAAGGAGTTTTAACTACAGTGAAAAGGCTTCTTTTAATCTAGAATGATCATAGCCATGCAAAGATTGATGCCTTTTTAATGGCTGCATATTGATTTAACAATATCACTATAAAATGTACAGTGATATAACTGTTTCTATAGAAACAGTCAAATATTCCAGCATAGACAGAATCTTTCTCTGTTACACGATTATTTGGATCAGCTAGCTTTAGAAAGCTAGCCATACCTGAGAACCAGTATATGGCTATATGTATTTTCATTAATTTTAAATAAATCGATATTTCAGTAGACCATTGTCGATGCATTCCTCTGTTAAAAAAAAAAAAAAAAAAAAAAAAAAAAAAAAGCAAGACTCTGGATTCCTTATGAGAATCAATGAGACCCTTACAAGAGCTTAAAATGAAGCTTTGAAACACCAAGTTTTCACTATAGGTAATTCCAGATAGCTTACATTTAGGTGCTTTCAAAGTCCGTTGCTAATTTTAATGCACTTCTAGATCTGTTTCACAGTGAGCTGTGCTGTTTTTTTTTCTGTCTTAACTGTTGAGTAATTGGGGAGGAGCTGTTTTCCATCAATTGTACACGTGCTACAAGACCCTCTTGCCTAAATCCTACAAAGGAAGAAACCTTGTAAGCTGGATGCACACTTCCCAGCCAAAAATCCGTCTCTGTGGGTTGTGTATCTATGTCCTGCAGCCCAGGGCTCTTCAACCTCTGTAAAGTGAAGAATCATCTTTTGGTTTTGTTTTTTTAAATCCATGGACAAGCTTATGAAGATATTGTACTGGTCTTCACTTACAACCACGTTAAATTAATTTAAACTTCATATGTCATTTTAGTACTTCATTTTTCATCCCATTTTCTTGGATGCTTGCCTGGGAATCCATGCATAGTCTGTTCAGATTTTTTTTTATTATTCTACTTATTTTTTCCAGGCTATCTTCTGATGCCTTTTGATCTTCTTGCTACAATTTGTGAGCCACTAATCTGCATGGACTCTTGTCATCAGTAGAGAAGAGAGGCTGAGGAAGGGTCTAGGAGTTGTCCACTTTTGGGGCACTGGGGAGACAATGGATTGGGAGCCATCACGGTGGTTTCACAGACACCTTGGAGTTTCCCTAGTGAGCTGCCATATTTGAGAGGAGGCCAAAAAAAGATGTCTAAAGAGATCCAAAAAGAATCTGTCCTGAAGTACCAACATAGGTGTGCAAATTTCCTCCCCTTGCTGCCTCTTCTTTAGCTCACAAGAGCACCTTATGAAGAGGTGATCTTGCCCACTGATTACTATTAATATTTGAACAGGTTTTTCATTGCTGAGTTAGCAGCTGTCAGAATCTAGTCGTTGATGAGTTTTTAATTAATGATATCTGAATCATAGTAGAGCTAGATGACATTTGATAAGGTATAGATCAAATGGACACATAAAAGTTCCAGGCAGAGGCAATTTCTACCAGTTAACAAAAGATCCCAGAGATGCATCTTGCACTTTTAGCTACTTTTTATTGACAACGTTGAGACCTTCCCCCGTAACACGTAAATCAGTGCTTTCTTTCATGGTCAGAAGAGAGGCACTGTTAGCTTAAGAATACAGAATGAAGACGTCTTTACGTTAGTCCCATGTGGGTGTGATACCACTAAGCAGTTGATGGCAACAGGGGGGAACTCAGGCCCTCTCACTGTCAAATGGAAACAGGCAAGTCCACGTTCCTCTTGTAGCAAAGAAGTGCTTTCTCTCAACCCCCCCAACTGACACTACATGGGAAGGACCCTTCCAGAACAAATACCTGTCTTACTACAGTCTCTGTGACGCCCAGCAATGCACTTCCAGAAATAAAATGCGGGGAGGCAAAACTTGAAAGCTAGTGTTAAGCCCCTAATTGTGCAGACTTGAGCAACTATTAGTTTCCCCCCCTTCCCCAGGTTCCTGTCTTTCCCCAGTTAATCTGCCCGAGGCGCTTTACGAGGCATAGGATACTTACACTGTCCTGCCTGTCAGGCAGGGCAGGGACGTGATGTGGGCTAATCCCTTGTTTTCTACAAGTTCAGAGCTTGCAGGAGGATCCTGCTGTGTGATAGAACTCCTGACAGCTGGAGTTCACGGCAGAGGACTTGGCTGGGCAGATGCTGCCATGCTTAGACATGAGCTTAAAAGGAACTATAAGCATTATCTGTTCTTACCTGGCAAGTGAAAAGGAGAAAGAAGAATGAACTGCCTGTGTCCGTTTTCCTTTACAGTGCCAGAAGGGGATAGTCTTGCCATTGAAAAAGTTACACATCAGCCTTAAGAAGCTTTTAGTGTCCTCTGCTCTCAATAACTTCTGGCATGGGAGGCAAAATACGTAACAGGGTGAGTGGTGCTTCTTCACTTTTTGTTAAGAATTAACAGTAGGACGCTCCAATGTTTCCTAAGTTTAATGATGGGACCACAAGTAATGATCTGAATTGCAGATGGTAATGGTTCCTTCCTCTCTGATTTGGCTTTGATAGTTCCTTTGATGTAGAAGAACTGTGAGCTGAATTTGCATAACATTACTCCCACTCCTATCAGTCTGTTGATGAGCTATCTTTATTAAATTTTTCACCATTTCGGGAATATTTACATACTTCCTGATTTTATAATGAGATCCTGCTTTACTACACAGGGAGCCTACTGATGAGCATCTGGTACCTTATGAGTTTTGATACTCCTAGCGTGGTATTTAAAATTTTGCTCCTGTTACAAATTATCCCACTCCATCAGAAATTACTACCATTCTTAATTGACGTGCAATGTCTTGTCAGAGAAATGGCAACTGGAGATGATAAAATGAGTAGCAGGATAAAAATGACGAACAAGTTCAATTAGTGGTTTTGCCTTTTGTTAATAGGAACATATGGGAAATTTTCAAAATAAAACAGGAAAATAAATATTTTTGTGTTTTTACTAATTCTCTTCTAAGTTGTAATGTTCACTTTTCTTCTAACTCCAGCCTCCTTCCTCTCTTTCTTTTCTATAGCAGAGTGTCATCTGAAAATAAAGGTTTCTCTTACTGCTGAGCAGAATGGTGAAGATGTGTTTTCACTGATCCCCTGAACACAAAGAAGAACTAGTTTTTGGCTAGAAAATCTATTAAGCTTTTTGAAGCTCTGGTAAACATGAAATGCACACACTATTCTTATTTTCATTAACTGATGGTTAGAATATTCAATGCTTTTATTGAGAAAACCATGTGATATCACTCACTTCCCAGTTTCTGAGACTTTTTTCTCTTATGAAGAGAATAAATTATAAAGAGAAAAAAAAAAAAAAATCAGATTCGCAAACATAAGAAAGACTGCCTTCAAAATGTAGGGTTTTTTAGAATCAGTTCCCGAGATGGAGTCTGATTTTATTTCCCAAAAGAAACAAACAATCCTAGGAGCTGTTCTAATCTGGTTTGCAGAGTTCCCCAAGCATATCCCTAGGACTGGGGAGAGGGAAGGTGCCAGTGCACCCAGGATTGAGGTCTAATACTGGTTACATTTCGGGGCTTCCTCTGCAATCCAGCTACCTATGAGAGCATTTACTTGTGCACTGTGCAACCTATTACTTGTGCAACGTGCAGCCTATTAAAAATACATACCCACAGGAAAGAGCTTATTTGGCTATAGATATACACAGGCATTGAAACAAAGATTCTGGACAATGGCATCAAGGAGCTGCAACCTTTCTTTTTTTTTTTTTTTTTTTTTTTCACTTTTTTCTTCTTTATTTCACAGCTTGCCAAATTGCCCATCCCTTAAACCAGATTATCTTGATGCCTGTGAAAGTCCAATACTGCCTGTTACCAGTGAGGTTCTTATTGCTGGAAATAATGCACTGGACTCACTGAGAAATTTTTAACAACCTGTTTTTTTTGGTTTTCTTTTTTTTTTTCCATTTTAAAGAGCAGTCCCTTAAAGTAGAGTTTACTGAATAATGCAAGGTATTCTAGGAATGGGGTACACAGGGTTAAATCAAACATAAAAAAATTACACCTCTAGCTTGTTCTTAATATGTCTACTTTGTAATCTGGAGGACATGTCCATGTACAAGAGAAAAGCGATTTATCTGACTCTCTAAACAGTACAATCACTTAGCTTATGTGATTTATTCTGATTGGAAATATATCCTCATTTGCCTCTCCCAGTGTAACCATTAAATTACAATTTAAGTGACAATACATGGTTAAACATTAACATTTCAAATTATTTTTACTTATCTACAAGGTCTATAATAGGCAGCAGGTTCTGTAATTGCAAATAAGGATGTAATATATTTTAAAATGCAATGCTGTTAAGATTGTGCTTTTCCTTTTTTTAAAAGCACACTAGGAATTTTGAAGGGTACATGGAGAGGATCGCTTTTTATTTGATGAATCGAGTTTATAATAAAACGGCTCCAAAGACCAAATAAAAAATATCTGAGATGGCAGAAGGCAGGATATTAATGTATTGATATCATCTGGATAATAATACAGTATGTTCCTGAACTTAGGGGTTTTAAAAAACTTTGAGAACTAAAATGACTGTGTTTTTCAGGCGTCAAAAAGTTATGAAGTACGTTTCAGAGTCTAAAAGGTGCACGTAAAAAGAGGCGATATATGCGTACGCACACTTGTGACTGCGCTGCCCTGATGAAGCTGCGGGTGCGAATCCATGAGGATCAACTCTCCTCCTGAGAAAACGTCCTCTGCAAGGAGCACGTGGGCCGGCAGGACGCCCGTGGCAGCTCCAGACCTCGCAGTGCGGGAGGCAACGATGCAAAAAAAAAAAAAAAAAAAAAAAACCCAAACCAAAGACCGTCTGCAGTGTATAAACATCTCCGCTCTCCTCAGGTGCCAGAACAGCCCTCGAGGCAGCGGGGAGCTTGTGTTGGTGGCTACATCAGTACACCGAATAAGAAGGCATAAAGTTCCACCACGTCACCTTTGCCCTCTTCTTACACCCTCAGGCCAAGCACAAGTCCGAATCTGTTGGTGCCACATGTTTGCGCTGTGTCTGAGTTCTTTAATGCTGAGCACATTCCAAAAACACCCCTCTTTTCCCTGTTCTCAAGGGTTAATGCAATAAGCAAAACACAATAAAAGCTTCTGAAAAGTCTGGAGCAGGAAGGAAGCTGGCTTACTCCTCCTCGGTTTCCTATGCTGCCAGTGTAACAAACTGCCATTTTCAAGAAGGTGGCTACAGCTGGTTTAGAACTTAACTTTCTTTTATTTTATTATTTTTTTTTAATTTATTTCTAAGTGTACTTACGAATTAATATATCAGTCCTAAAAGCCTAAGCCCTTGTCATGGGAGGAGGAGGGAGCAGAAGAGCTTCATTGCTGATGCACTCATGGTGGAAGATGCTCCTTGAAAGTATCATCCGTATTGGGTGGTCACTGTGGGGGGTACAGTAAAACACCCATCCTAAGCCACCTGGTTACAAAATTTCCTTTACTGCCTGTAAGGACAGGAAGCTTTTTAATTTACAAGAATACCCGATAGATATTTCTAAAACAGCACCTTCTACCAACTTTCTTTGTGCTTCCTATCTCCCTCGCTCTACCTGGCACTTAAGCTTGTGTATAGGAAAGACTTTTATCACTTTCCTTATGTATCTTATTAACCTTTCTATGGCTATGCATTCCCATTATTTTTTTTCTTTCCTGTATGAAATTTTTCCTTCGTACTGTTCAGTGGGTTTTCTGAACAGCTAAGAATTTTTAAAAATGTGTATGTTATATTGAAATATGTTTTTCCATAATCTAATTGCACTGGTTACTCCATATACTGTGCTAAATCTCTGATCTCTGTCTAAATTTTAATGAAAAAATAGTCCAAAACAATAGTTGAAGTAACTATTTTTAGATGTTTAGATATTATTTTTAGATGGCAGACTTTATTTTTACGTAGATTTTTCTGGGTATGGGTATGAATAAAATGCATGACAATGAAGAAAATGACAGAGATTGTGCTTCAACCTTTCAGAGCAGTGAATAAATACAGCTTGTACAGTGTTTCTCTTTGGCTCTATACAAACACAGGCTTGACCTGAGGATGCAAATTGTATAAGGGGATAATTTTCCAGAGCAGTATTTTAACTTCTACTCATGCAAATACCTAATTGTTCGCAGGACGTTTTAAAAGAGACAAGCTAACTTCATGTTCTTTGTACTGAAAGGACTTGTTCCTTTATTCAGCAGATTTTTATACCGTGTAGAAGAGCAGTGTCTGCACCGTGTTTGAGAGTTAGGCCTTTGTTTTACCAAATATTATGTGCCTCTGGGATAGGAAGAAAGCCTGTGCAACAGGTTTCTGCACCCTTGCCGACGTGTTCAGTCAAATTAACTTGTCGTGACGAGTCCTGCTTGGTCTTTCTGAGGGGAGGCAGAGGGGTGTGGAGTGCTGCCTCACTTCTTCTCGGCGGATGCCTTTGATTCATGGATATTGGAATGGATTTTTCGCTACACATGTGAGGCTCACCCTCCAATCTCTTGCACTTGCGTAGACCTCGCGTGATGTAAGCCTACGTCCTTCTCCTCGGAGGAGGTACAGCCAAAACAGACAGCTGTTTAGATCTCCCCGGCAAAGGATCCCAGCGGTCCCACCCGCACTGGATGCACAGACACGGGCTCCTCGCTGTCAGACCCATCTGGTGGGGTGGCGGGGTGCCCGTCCTCAGCCCTGGGAGATAGATTCACGGCGACAGAGGTACAAAGCAGCCACGGGGTTTAGGGCAGGCGTCCTGTACAGCGTGGCAAATAGTGTCGATTATGTGGGAAATAACACCTTTGGGCTGCTAGCAGTACCGTATGTTTGTTTAGCGTGTGTGTGTTATGTAGATACATGTCATGGGATATGCGAATACAAAAGACACGAGTCAAAATATTTGCACCTGGAAGCATGGCATTAGGCTCCCGAGTGTGTATGCCTGTGTAGATATATAAGGATGTGTATATATATATATATATATACATACATATATGTGTGTTTTCTGGTTTTCAAAGAGCAGAATACACTGCAGTCCCCTGTATAGAAACTGACATACGCCCAAACCTTCTGAAAATCAAACCACCTGAAAATACCCATTTGCGTGACATCCAGCGTGATGTTCTTTAGCAAGAAATTCCCCTTTAGCCTCCTGGTTTTTGTAAATGTTGGGTGTTTTGGTTTTTTTTTTTTTTTGGTTTTTTTTGTTTTGTTTTTTTTTTTTTTTTTGTTTGTTTTTTGTTTGTTTGTTTGGTTTTTGTTTTTTTTTTTTCTTTTTCTTTTTTTTTTGTTGTTGGTTTTTTTTTCTTTTTTTTTTTTCTGATACCAATCTGAATAAGACCATGCCATCTGTAAGTGAGACTTGGAAGAAACAGACTCAGTCTCCTAAGCGCAGCCAGGCAGAGCACGGCATTCACTTGCTGCAGAATTGCCTCCGGAGCGTTGCTTCATGAGCGTGCAGGCAGATTCACATTATTTTTCTCAGATAATGGACCGCGGGGCTCCAGCGAACTCCCTCTTCCGAGTTTTGCATGCAGCTGCTCTCTGTGCACTCTTGGTGTGAGGTCTTCTGACTTCTCGCTCTGCGTGAGGGTGGGTTAGCGTTCGCTGGAAACGTGGGCTCAGTGATGGCAGTGTGCTGGCAGGAGGGCTTGCTTACACCCACGGGGCCAAACAAAGGTCCCTTTGTGGGAGTGCAGCAGCTTCAGAATACACAGTTTGTCATCAGCACTTGTCTGGGCGTCCTAACTGAAGATCTGCCACAACACCTACAACTCCGAAACACACTGCGCCTCTGTCGTGTGGTTAATCTTTTTTTGTTTCATTATTACACTGAAGTCCCTTTGTAACAATCTAAGTAAGAGGGTCTATACACCTCCACCTATAATGGACCAAGTTCCCCAAGCACTGTTAAATGTTGGAAGGATGTAAAAGAGCAACAGAGTGAATGAAAACCCATCCCATATATTTTTCTGTGTATTTATGGTTAGACCTCATAGAACTGTGTGAATTCCTTATTGTTTTAAAGAGTCCTTTTTGAAACACATAGAGGCCCATTTATAGACTCAGAGTTCATTAGGGACTACTTCTGAATAGAGGAGAACTACGGTCGGTCACTGGTACTATTTTAAAAAAATTCTCTTTTCCAACATTCATTTAAAAGAAGAGGTTTATTCATTTATTCAGTTAAATTCACCAGGGATAGCTGTACTGGAGAAGGGACTGAAAGCTCCAATTCACTTTAATTTGTCTATTTGCTTACACTCTGTATTGGAATGCAATAGCAAACAGCCAGATTTTTTTTTTTTTTTTTTTATTCATGAACATACTCTTTGAACTAAGTACATTTGAAAATACAGATTTAGTTCTCTAACCATGAATACAGGTTCTGGTTCCAGCGAAAGACGTGCAGTGAACTCTATCATAAAAGCACTGCAGAATTAAATTCTTTGTGGGCCTCAGTGTGGCAGAAAGTAGAAATAAAAAATTCTGTGATTCACACCATGGCGGCATTGACTCCTCTTTGACATAGCCACCGGGGCTCTGCTCAGAGCTTGCTGTCAGACCGAACTGGTCTGATGGGCCTGACGTTAAGCAAATGCTAAACTCTCAGTAAATTCAACGTTTTTCTGATTCATGCCATGAGAGGGCTAGCAATCCAAGGAAACAAACACAGAAAAACAGGGAAGAACAAACACTCAGCATGAAACTTCAGTAGTTTACTGGACCTAACCACACCAGCTCTGCCTATAGCCAAAGGAATGACGGAAATACTCCCTATGGCATTGATGTGGCAGGGCAAAATTGTGTCCAAAAATTCAACTCGTAGCCAAACCCCAGGTAAACTCCAGAGTCCAGTTTATACCTCTGGGTTACCACCTACACTCTCCACTCAAAGATCCCCAAATGGTCTAGAGGACACAGGGGTATTCTCAAGGCTCAAGCCACCACAGCTGCTGTATGGAACTTCTCGACTCTAGCCTGGCCTCGAGCGATGGCTTTGCTGCATGGTGGTCTGCTTGCTGCAGCTCGGGGGAAAAATTGTTCATCCTCACCTGAGTTGATGCCTGCACATCCTTGTCCTGCCCCACTGACCATGCAGGGCCCTCCAGAGCACTCCTTTGTCCCCCATGGGTTAGGAACTAGCCGAATCCTTACTTGGCGGGTGACCAAGTGGGTCCTTCTGGCTCCAGAAACAACAAATTGCAAATTGGCCCAGCTCTACGTTTATTTGCATAAGTCCATGGATGCACCATCAGAATTACATAGGTCTCCCTGCTCTTTTTTCCCCAGCTATATGATCTACAAAGCAATGACATCTTAGCAAAGGAAGTTAAGTGTGTGGCTTTTTTTAGAAAGCTTGTGTTGCTTGATAGATCTCAAGTACTACGTAAGTAGGCATGTATGCATGTATGTAGGTAGGCATGTATGTATGTATGTATCTATTTATCAATCTATTTATCTATCTATTTATTTATTTATCTATCTATCATCTATTTATCTATCTATCTATCTATCTATCTATCTATCTATCTATCTATCTATCTATCTATCTATCATCTATCTATCATCTATCTATTTATCTATCTATCTATAGATCATCTATCATCTATCTATTTATCTATCTATCTATAGATCATCTATCATCTATCTATTTATCTATCTATCTATCTATCTATCT